ATTATGGTTCTTATAGTTCTCAAACAACACATATATGTCTATGTATGTATGTGTATATATATATATATATATATATGCGAAGAATTGTATGATAACGAGAGTCAATGTGAAATGCATAAGAGGTGATTTGGATCATTAATCACCTTTAAACTTACCCATGAATCACACTTGATACGTGGACTGATCCAGTGCATCTTATCCTAATGTACATTTAAGGATGAAGATTTCTTTTTACGTTTTCCATTTTTACTTTTTCTTTTTATCGAAACCTAACCCTATATATATACCTAAATAGGAAAGATAGCTACAAAGTTGGAGAACATGTTTGCCATATGAATAGGGACAACAATCCAATCATAAATGAATTTCCACTTTTGTCTCCTCACTGAAAAAGTGTAAGCAATGATTTATAGGCTTACCCACCAATTTCATGACATATGTAACCTACTTTGTTAAGTAACTAAAAGCTGTTCTTCTCAAACTATGATTATGCCACCAAATTTACACAATCTCACATAATATTTAAATTAAATTATAAAAAAAATCTGAAATTTCGACAATATAACATCTATGAAAATATTAAATACAAATCATATTGTATTGAATGTTATAGTTTTTTTAATAGAAATTTTGATCTGAAACATCTCCTCTTATACAGGTAGAACAATAAAAATGTAAAATATGTTTTGTACTGATTTTGGTATGAAAGTCAAAATCAGATGCACTTGTGTTTGATTCCTTTGGTGCTTTCTTTTTATATTGTAGAAATATGAGTTTAATACTAAAAGAGTTTGGATGTGACTAAAAGTGGTTTTGAAGATTAATTCGTGTAATTGTAATAACTTAAAACATGGTAGATTTTCGTTTATACCTCATTATATCGTATGGGTACACAACTTGTAATTACAAATTCAACTCATACTTACTCTATTAATATGTGTGTGTGTATATATATATATATATATATATATACACGAAAGTTATTTGTGCATATCTTCATTACAAGGATGCATATACTTACACATATACAAACGGGTCCATTCAAGAAAAAACTTCGTAATTTATGATAACCGTAAGATTCAATCTCAACCATAAATCAAATGATAAATTATGAAAATTAGTAATTTTGGTAATTTTGACTTATAAATTTAATTAAAGGGCATTTTAGCTATTTTAAAAAAATTCTCTCTCTTCTTAACTCTCTCCTCTCTCTTTGGCGTGAACATTAAATTATATTGTGATACTCATTGTATACACGTGATACGTTAGTTATGATCATTTTCTCTCTATATACTCACAGATACCTACTGATACCCACTATATTCACGATGCGATACCCACTGTATACATGTTGTGATGTCTATTGTGATCATCGTGATGGATTTGTGAAGTAGAGATAACACACTATGATCACCGGAGTTGGGAGGGAGGGGACTAGAATCTAGAGAGAATATAACGGGATAATGTTTGGGGATTTATTATTGTGTAAATGAAAAAATTGACGGAAATGATTTGTACAGCCAAATTATTCTTTTTAGCTTATTTAAGAAATATATTTGATCATCTCAAATGATGATTCATATTGGATCTTACAGTTATTACAAATTACAGAGTTATCATTTGATTAGGCCCCTACAAACGCATACACATGTGTATATAACTATTTCAATATGTATATATATATATATATATATATATATATATATATTCCAACATAGGTATATATATTCTCTCGAGTTTAAATTTTAGGGGTGATACAAATTGATAAGACAAAAAGAACATTTCTTTTTAAGTAAATTAAATCATTTGTTATATATGATTACAACATATATATATATATATATATATATATATAGAATCTTTTACAACCTACAGTGACAACATTAATCTTAACGAATAAAATAAACACTTGTTGCCGGCTATATTGAGAATCATCTTAAAACAATAATGGGTTACAAAATATCGGTGTCGATTGTTAATTTCAATAGACATAAAGTTGTCAAGACGTACATTTCATAAATTTAAAAATCTTGAACCCTTGATTCCAACAAGCAACAATCTTTTGTTTTATAAGATGATCAATAAAAATATTAGAACTCTCTCGATCATATACAAAATACCATTATTTTTATACCATCAAAACTCCAAGCATATACACACGAACTTAGTGCTGGAAACATCTATCATCCGACGTGAAGAATATCGTTTAAGAAAGCAATATCTTCACACAAATTTTACGTGAATCCACCTAACGAATCGTATATATTGTTGCTCTTATGTGTAACGCTGTAAAAGATCTTAAACAGGTAAATAAGCATAACCGAATACCCACGTGACGTTGTGATCATGTTTTTAACTCTGGGTCTAGTGACGCAACGATCTTTTCAAATGAAAATTGATACATTTGGAATTCATAATGACATACCGACCAACATTTCTCGTTCATAAAAAGAAAAAGTAACATTTCAGTACTTTTAAACGTTTAAGTTAGCATAAACAGGTTTTAATTTTTATTAATTTTATATTAAGATTGTAATCGAGAGAAAATGAAACTTGAAGAATAATAAGAAATCATTGATCCAACCTTTTGAACCCTACCTTTAAATTGTTTAATATAAACAAACGTAATTATTAATTTATGTCTAAATGGACATTGTATCCTCCAACATCGTGTTGGATGGATATTTATACTCCTTAATTTGTTTTTAAAAAAATAATGTTGTTGTATTATTCATATTTTTGTAACAACCGAGTAAAAACTTAAGTCTGAATCGGAAGTTCTTAAAAAAGCTCGTAAAAAAGTAAGTGTTTTAAGTAAAGACAAATTACATAAAAAGAACGTATTTATATTCGATCATTATTTTATAATATATATATATATATATATTTACGGGTTTATGGTGTAACGAACTAATAATTCATATATGATTTAAGTTCAATCACTCAACTCAATGATTATCAAATCAATTAAAATTATTGTTGAAGTTATTGTTGGTCTACTGTTGAGAAACATATAAGTAGGGGGAGCATCGGATGGGTTTGGCAGGTCCGGGTGGAGTGGGATACGTAAAAGCCGATATGGTTTTGGGGTTGGGTAGAACGTAGAAAGACCCGACCCTCATGATTTCGTGGTGGGATTTGTTCGGGTTATGGGGGAGTTCAAGTTGCATGGAAGTGATATCTTGGTTCTTTTATGTTGTTTGTATGCTGTTTGTGGCCGCAGTTGCAGGTCCCTTGAGCTATTTTTCGATGACAGAATTTGATATCTATAAATCCTGCTAACTGCCAAGACTCAAAATTCTGCTAATTTTGGTTTTTTGGTTTTCGGGTTTTATTAATAATCGGGTATCGATTTTTTCCAAAAATCTCGGTTCGGGTTGGATGGGTTTTACACAGACCTAATATAAGACGCTTCTACAATTTGATACAAAATTGGTGAATTTTATCCCGTCTTTCCTACTTTTTCCATTTTGGAGAAGATTTTGGAATCAATTGGAAGAAAAATCCTCAAAATCTCCATTTTAAAGAACTTATCGGAAATTTTTTTTTAGGAACGAGCCAATTATATTACATAAAACCAAACAATTTCTTGATTTTCATTCTAATTGAATGTTGCTTAATACCTCTAACCAAACACCTTCAATGTAAAATCATATGTGATATGACCGTTTCTTAAATACGTCGATAACGTCTTGTTATAAAGGATAAATAATGTTGGTACGTGAAAAACGGGTTGGTCTCTTTTTGTTCTGTTTAAATCAGTAAACTTTAATTATTCGTAACTGATACGTTTGGAGTTTTATTTATTTAAATCTGAATTAAATGGTTGGAATTGTGGGGTAAAATATAAGGCTGGATTTAGGTATGTCTAAATGAAGAAAGAGTAGGAAGTAATATTACCCAAAAGAGGAAGGAGTCATATGATTGATTGATGAAGAATCCATTGGCCTTTTTCACCCAACATCTTTGGAATCCTTATTCCCCCACCTTAAACAATCCTTAACTCTGTTTTTTTTATTGCACGGTCGGACACACTTGCTGCACCAAAAAGAAATTCAAACCATTATCAATTCACTAATAAAACTTGTACAAAAACCAATTTACCCCTAGTAACTTTTTTCAAGTTAAAAAAAACCTCAGTAAAATTAATTTATTATATAAATAATATTAAAATATCGATATCTGTTATTAAATCGTCAGCGTATAAATTTATCTACTATAACTTGCTTGTAATTTCGTGACGTTTGATCCGGTGAAAAAATTTATTGTGAAAATAATATTTTACGGACTAACATTATTTAAATAAAATTTTCATGGTAGTTGTTGAAAATTTATAAGAGAATATATTAACTAATAAGCGCGAGTTCACGAACGGAACATTAAAAAACACTTTTTCTTTGTAAATAATAAAAGCAGTTAAATTCTATCAAGGTTAAATCAACGATAACATTTTATCAAGCAAACTTTTGTGAGTTTAACTCAATTAACAATAAAGCTTGAACTTTTAAAGATTTTATTTAAAAGTTTCATATTTGAATCTTACACGGCCATTAATTTTCTGATTATTTTTCAAGACTTATAAAATTAGTCGAGATATATATAAACTCATCCAAAACACCATAATATAACCATTTTTTTTATTAATTTGGATATTCAACCCGCTATGCAAGCCGACTAATTTTGGGACGACCACCTACTTTGCAGATAACCCGAAGTTACCGTATTTGAACCTTCATGGATTTAAACCTGGGAACTTCAAGTAATTTTAACTATTAAAGTCAAGCTCAAACCAACCGGCTATCCCCGTTATGATTACCATTATTTTTTTAATTTTAGGTTCCAAGTGACTGTAGATAAAGCCCATGTGTGATTTGTCACATAAGTTCCTCTATTTACACATCTCTCTGTCTTTCTCTCTCTCTCTCTCTCTCTGACTGATCTTGGTTGAAATTGTTGAAATGGCACTTGGCATATAGGGATTCTCTGTCTCCTTCACAATTGGTTTTTGGTTTCAAACATCCCTCTCTTCTTAATAGGTATGTTTTCTTCTTCTTCTTCTTCTTCTACTTCTACTTCTACTTCTCTCTCTCTTGTTGTTGTCACCCTTCAACTGAATATTCCCCTTGACTTTCTTCTTCTCACTATCTCATATCCCTTTTTCTTCTCTGGGTTCATCTTAGAATCAGGATCCTGCTATCTGTACTTGCAATTTCACCTCCGATTTGCTTCCAATCAACTGCCCTCTTGTTATTTCTTCACATCTCTCTTTGTTTCTGGTCTCCTTTCACATATGTTTTTGACGATGGATTTAGCTGTAATGGAAAGTCATATATATTCGCCCTTGTCTACGTTTTTATGTTTTTTTTAATGTTATAATTGTTCATGGTTTATGAGAAAATGGAGTGTAATTGGATTGTAGGTAGTGGGTATTGTGGATTGAGCTAGGGCAGTTTGAAATTTTTTCTAATGATTTTCATGCTAATTTGAAATTTGCAGGAATTCAGTCAATTTTTCTGCAAATATAACTTCAATTTGATCTGGGTATCCAATGAATTCTGTGTATTACAAAGAACATTATGATGGAATTGCTTCAAATCCTGTGGGTTCACTGTCATCTGGTTCGGGTCCTTGGTGGAGTGGACTTGTGACCCGACCCACTTATGAAGAATCAATGGTCAGAATGAAGCCTTCATCAATGGAAGACATTGGAGAACAACTCATGCCTATTATTTCCCCTAAACCCATGGCTAAAGGGAATATGACTCATTTCAATATCTTTTCTGGTAAAATTTGAATCAATAATTTGGTTTATATAATCATTAACCCATGTTAATCTTGAAACCAAATCCAAGGTTTCAATTCTATGCACCATTGTTTAAGGAACAAATTTAAGGATAAATCATCTCGAGAATTCGGTGTTTCTTGTTTAAGGATTGGATTCAAGTCGTTTGTATTTGGATCTTCAAGTTTATATGAAAAAGAGACCAGAATTTTTGTGGGAAATTATGATCAAAAGGTTTAAATGATTCAGGTGAGTGCAAGAGTTCATCAAATGGCCAAAAACCAGTGCAAATTCAGGCTGCTTTCTCTATGCAATATGCTCCACAGGAGTATGGAGGTCATCTTGAGCTAGGATTTGGTCCGCCACCTGTGGTAAGAAATAAGAATTTAAACATGTTTTTTTTTGTGTTTTCGACGACTTCAATCTTAAATCTTTAAGGTCGATGCTCATGTGATGTTTTGGTTTTTGCTGAATTGCGTAGATCTGTGGCAAGAATCCTTACGGGGGTCAATATTATGGCGTTCTCTCTGGTTTTGGACCTCAAAGCACAGTGTGTTCTCTCTTTGAGCTCTTCTGTTCACTTGATTTCATCGTCTTAATTATTCGGATTTAAATTTAACCAAGAAGTTATAATGATCGTAAACCATGATGATTAAACTGTTATTCGAATCATTAAGCAATCATTTTAAGAATGTGAATTGAGTGATGACATAGGCCTAGATTTCGCTTACGATTCATCTTTTTCTTCATTGATTTCGGGCAAAACAATGTATGTTGCTATGATATATAATTAAGAGTGAATTAGTTTTATAACGATGTAGTTTCGTTGCAAACTAACGACTGATCTTGTCAAAATGCCAAAAAGAACACTAAAGTATGCGAAATAGAGAGGACTGGTTTTAGCTCATTTTCAATGGTTATTTGCAACGAAACAAGTACAAGAGTTTGAATCACTCGATCGAATGTGCTTTAGTGTCTTTGTTATTTCTATTTTGCCAGTACAGTTTCATGTGCAATGTAAGTTAACGCATGATGGTTAGTCCCATCTTCCTCGCTTTCCCTCGTCCTGTTCCGCCCCATCCCATACTGTCTAGTCCCATCTGCATCCCAAACGTGTCCTGTAGGCTGTAGAGGGAGGGGGATTCGACCCTTGGATTCTTCGAACCACCTCTTTGTTGCACTGTTTAATTTGATTCTCTCTTGATGGTACTCTTTTTTGACGATTCAGGGCCGGGTTATGCTGCCTTTGAACTTGAGCAGTGATGATGGACCTATATACGTGAATGCAAAGCAGTATCACGGAATAATCAGGCGCCGGCGATCCCGAGCCAAGGCAGAAATGGCAAAAAAAGTTTCGAAGAGTCGTAAGGTATGTGATTTGACCATTTTACCCTCACAAACTGTCTCGCTTTCCTGAGGTTTTGAAAGGCATTTGGTCATTGTTTCTTGGTCGTTATACGCAGCCATTTCTGCACCTGTCACGCCATCTCCATGCAAAGCGCCGGCCAAGAGGTTGTGGAGGCCGCTTCCTGAACACAAAAGAAATGGACAAGGGTAAATCTGGAAATCCGGATTCAAAGACCGAGCATCCAACCGGGTCCCAGAGATCCGAGGTTCTGCAGTGTGATCTCGGCAACTCGACCTCCCCTCACGAAACAAACGCTGGTAGGTCCCACATATCGGGATCGGAGGTAACAAGCATGTTCTCCATGGGAGACCTCAATCACTTCCCCATCGGGAATCTCTCGGTCGTTTCTCTTTCAGACATGATGATGTCTGGAAACGGCATTCATGCCTTTGGCATGCATAACAAATGGGCTGCAGCAACTACCGGTGGTGGTAACTGCTGCAACCTGGCAGTCTAATGGCACATGGGGTCTTGATGTGTCGATCTGATCGACACATCAAACTCCAGTCATTGATGGTCAAATGGAACGGATGCTCTCCTCTGTTTGGCTAGGCAAATCATCCTTGGCTTAATGCGTTAAGGTTGTGTCTCTAAACTTAATTCCCCCTGCAAATATTGCAGAGTTTGGGAGTTGTTTAGAGATGCTAATATAGCCTTGATGCATATGATGGAGATGGACAAATATACCCCTTCCGGATGTGTTTTGTTTCATCTCATCTTACGTTTGTTGTTTGAAATAAGTGTGTGTTTCTATGTGTGTTTTTTCTTCCAAGCATTTGGGAATTGCTTTTGTACTATGGTTTTGATCACACATTTGTTGTTATTGTGAAATACCCTTGGGGTAGTCTTGTAAATTACATGAATCTTGGATGTTGTTTTGTCCCATGTGCGTCTTATTAATCTGCTTATTAAATATTTTTAGGACAAAAATATCAAGAAAACAAATAGAAATCGTATATTTATAAAAAAAATTCATTTTCATTTTTATTAATCTGGACAAAAAGTTGATGACCGTCAATCTTAACCGGTTTCATGCGGAACCCACCTTCAACGAAACCAATGTAAAAAGGTATTTTTAGGCTCACTCAACGATTGAGGCTAGCGGGAGGCTTGGGATCAAACCTAGATTTGTCATGTATTTGGACAAAGTCACCGGAGTTTTATAAAAAGTGTTTGAATTAGTTTATAAATGGTAGCAAAACTTAATAAGCCAATAAGTTATTTTTTAGTGTTTGACAAATTTTGTTTATTTCATATAAAATGACCAAAAAAGACATTTTTTCAAAAAAAAAAAACTTGTCACTTCTTTCTTTTCTGCGTACAACAATATATATTTCTCCCTCTCCTACAAATATCCAACTAATCCACCGTTGAAATGCGTTCTTATGCTTCTTTCTTCATCTTTTTTCTCCTCAAATCTTCAACTTAAGATGGTGGCTCTCTCTAATCCTACAATCGAACAGTTTTTCATCAAAACCTGCAAACCAGTCAACCTTTTGACTTTCCCTCCTACAATTCCCCTCATTGACCTCTCGAAACCTAAATCAGAACACCTTTTTGTCAAAGCTTGTCAAGATTTTGGATTTTGTAAGGTCGTTAATCATGGAATTCCTACCAAATTCTTCAATAAACTCGAATCAGAAGCCACTAAATTCTTCTCTTCTCCTCTTTCGGTGAAACAACAAACTGGCTCACTTTCACCTTTTGGTTATGACACCAAGAACATCAATAGAAACGACGATGTCGGTTGGGTTGAATATCTTCTCCTCGCCAAACCCGAATCCTCTAGGGTTAAAGAAAAAGGTGAAAAGAGTAATTTGGTTTTTAAAGTTGATAAGTTGTTTATGACTGGTTGTGTATCCGCGCAATGCGGCGGGAGCCGTGGATTTTAACGATTTTTGAAGTTTCACTGGTTTTATTAGAGAAGATTTAACGATAATATAAGTTACACTTGGTCTTTACATATTATTTATTAATACAATTTGAATAAATAAGAGTTATGGTTCTAATTACAGTCTATCGATGAAAAAAATTGTATAATAATTTAAAATCCAATATATTTAAAATTCAACATATTTAAATGACTCCACAAATGTGTTCAATTTACAACAATAGCAAAGAATCAAGAGATCGAGAGCGAGACTGAGAGTTGTAGAACAATTGAATGGGAGATGAATTAGAAACTTTTAAAAGCTCGTAGTGAATATTAATTTGAATCTCACCTTGAAGGATGAGGGGAAGACATAGAGGTATGAGAGGATGAAAGCATGAGTGAAAGTTTTCAAAAGTATATTGAAAACATGAAAAAAAAAATGTAATAATATGCATAAAGTAGTAGTATTAATGCATTATGAGTTGTTTTTAAGATTTTGTGCATTAAAAATTTTAAGATTTTTGATAAATTTGTTTTATAAGGTAGTATAGATAAATTAGAATGGAATAAATTATCAAAAACTCTTTATTACCGGTGCCAAACCGATGTAAACATTTTTTTTCTTTCCATTCAAACACTAAAAACTACTTATTATCGGTATTACAACAGAATAACCCTAAATAATCCCAAACACCCTCTTAGTCATTTCTCTACCAAAATTTCCAAAATGTCACCACCTTCGTAAATAACAAATATACCTGGCCTTCGTGGGAACCGCGTGAATCACTACACTCCATGATTAACATGGTTCTCGCCGGTTTTGGTATAGGTTCAAATACTGTTGGACGCTTTCCAGATATTTTTATACCGAAAAAAGATGTATGAATCAAGTTAAACGAAATCAGCAATGAGATAATTAATGAGTCAATTAGTCAAATTGATCTACAAATTGGTTAAGAGATAAATATATAATTTAAGCAATTTTTCTAATAAGATTGTATTTGTTTGAAAGTAGCTGTTGGAACACAAAGACAAGCCAAACAATAATAACCTTATCTTCTCTGTTTCACTCGGAGCTTTGCATTACTCGAACCAGATTCGAAAATGTCTGCTGCTTCATCATCATTGATCTCCATTGCCACTTCTTCAAATTCACTCTGCAACTCCAAAACCCTTAACGTCATTTCCATCTCCAAAATCCACTTCAAAACCCCCAAATTATCTTTCAATTTTAAAACCCATCACTTGAATTTCCACCCTCTGCTCCGATCCTCTCTCCCATCACCCAAGTCCTCCTTATCCTATGAATCTATTCAAGTCGACAAAAACCCAGAATCAGAAACATCAGCAATTGGAGAAGAATTAGAAAAAGCTGATGATGACGACGACGATGAAGAAGAAGAAGATGATGATGAATATGAAGATGAAGAAGAAAGTGAACCCGAATCTCCGGAAGCTGGGAGGCTTTACATCGGAAACTTGCCGTACGCGATTACTGCTTCAGAATTGTCCCAAGTATTCGGAGAAGCTGGCAATGTCGTTTCTGTTGAGGTAACTACTTGCAAATTTTGGATTTATTTTGTTTAATTTTGAGGACGATTCGGATTTTTGTAACCCTAATTTTTTGTTGGATCAGATTGTTTACGATAGGGTTACAGACAGGAGCAGGGGATTTGCGTTTATTACAATGGCAAGTGTTCAAGAAGCTAAAGAAGCCATTAGAATGTTTAGTGGATCTGTAAGTGTTCCCCCAATCACCCTTCACTTTCATAACTTGTCTGGTATCAAATGAGTTTGAATCGTCAAAATTTGATTGCATTCAGAAACATTTAGAGTAGTAAAAGATGATAACTCCATAGAAATTCGTAATTCCATGTTGAAGTAGCTTAATATCAATGCTAAATTGGTTTCAAGATCCACATGTATTCTTCGTTTGAAAACCCCTCTTTCATGGCTGAATTTGTATGAAAAATCACACTTTTGGAACAATTCTGGTGTATCAAGATACTATAGTTTGTTTGGAGCAATGCGATATGGTGCGGTATATAACATCTCGGCAAATCCCATATCACCGATGAACAAGGAGGATGTTTGGTAGACTTGACAAAAATTATCTGGAAATTATGTGGAGCAGTTTGTGACAACCTATATATGGGAGTTCCTTATAAGCGTTAAAGTTGTGGGCTATCGATAACTTCCATCATAATCTTAAGTTGATTAGAAGTTAATGGGATAGTCTATTGTCGTGTGCTTTGGGGCGTTACACAACCATACGCATAGACATCTTTGTTCATACAGGACTTAATGGAACACTAACCAAACAGCCCCTTAGTTTGATTTTAATTCTGTTTAGTTTTAAACCTGTGATGCAACTACTGATTTTGGGCTAATAATTTGCAGCAAATTGGTGGGAGGACTGTGAAGGTAAACTTCCCAGAAGTGCCAAGGGGAGGTGAAAGGGAAGTTATGGGGCCAAAGATTAGAAGCAGTAACAGAAATTTCATCGAAAGCCCTCACAAGATCTATGCAGGTAATCTTAGTTGGATCATAACTTCAGAGAAGCTTAAAGACGCTTTTGCGGACCACCCTGGTCTATTGAGCGCAAAGGTCATCTATGAGAAACACTCGGGCAGGTCTCGAGGTTTTGGATTTGTGACTTTTAGTTCCGTTGAGGCTGCAGAATCTGCACTTAATGCCATGAATGGAAAGGTGAGCTTCAAAACTCGTGTTATGATTTCTGTATCTATTTTCTTCCATGGTTTCTTCAATTTTTCTAGTGCTTGTTGTGAACAGGAGATTGAGGGTCGGCCTTTGCGACTGAACTTGGCTGCAGATGCGTCAAGGTCGGGGAGAAGTTCTGAGATAAACGTCGATGGGAATGAGATCCTTTCGAGCGTTAGCGCCTCCTGATTAGGCAAAAACACACGAGGAAGTTAGAATTTTGAGTCTTCGTTCGTAGGAAGTGAGATGGAGAGATCCTGACGTTTTGTACACAAGTTTTGTGCAAGAAATCGGCGTTTGTATGCGTTTCGTCGTGTATTCAAGTGTAGTATTTCAGTCGACTAACAAATAAACGCTAGGTCTTGAGGTTCATCTCTTATAGTCAAATCAGTAGTGTTATACAGTGTTGTTTCTTAATAAAATGTTATATCTCGCTATTTTACGCGACTAGTATTTTACTAATATTGGTTGGGAGAATTAACATTTCCTATTTATCGCAAAGAATTGATATTAGTTGATTTAATTAAAATTAAATAAATATGACATAAATGATAGGGGATTTTTTTAAACTCTCTAATTTGTGAGATATCTGAGAACCAGTGTATCATGTATTATTTTATAAGATCTTTTTCATTTATCGCTAGAATTTAATATAGTGATTAATATATATTTTTTTCACAATATATTTGTTTCACATGTATGAATGTGAAACTTTGTTACGTGTTTGTGAAACAAACAATACACGTAAATATTTTGCATTATGAACGAAATACATATAAAGCAAAGACATTGTAATAAATATAAAAAATCATGTAAAATAAAACTTAAGGTAATTTTTTTTACACGTCTCATAAATTTTGAATTTTTTAAATGATTAAGCAAATAAATAATATTATTATAAATGTGTAATAATGTCATGTTTAAAAAGGTAGGGGTGCATTTTGAACAGTTATTATAAAATTAAGGTGTTGTTTTGCAATTCTCCAAAATTTGAAAAGTGTAGTCTAACATTGTTCATTTGTTTGGACTGTTTTTCCGTCCATCTCTCTCTCTCTAACAATGGCGATTCCGGTTACCTCAATCATACTCATCGCCGTCGTGGTAACCCTATCTACGAAGTTGTATTTGGTTGAATCGAGCAGCGACAACAACCACGTATTCTCTCCGTGTGCCGATGCCTCGGTAGAAAGGTCCGACGGTTTCACTTTCGGAATCGCTTTTGCGGCGAGGACTGCGTTTTTCTTCAACAATTCAGTCCAGTTATCACCTTGTGATAGGAGGCTCTCTCTATCTTCCTCAAACTCACAGCTCTCCATCTTCCGCCCTAAGGTCGATGAGATCTCCCTCCTCACCGTCAATTCCAGTAGCTTTTCGCCGGTAATTTCCGTCTTGCTGCGAGTATTTGTTTTTTTCTTATTATTTTGTGTAGAAGGATTTTGATCTCTATATAGCCTATTCAGTTGATGAGAAAGGGGTGGGGTAAAGGAGGAAGGGAACCTAGCGAGAAAGGATGATTCGTTTTCAGTTGCCTAGATGCGTTAAATAGCTACTTGCTAATGTAAATACCTTATTTGACTAGAATTCAATATGATAGATCGGGGTTAAACGCTTGCGAATATTTTGGCATATGTCTCACGAAATGTGTGTGCTAGGGAAGAAACAAACATCCTGAGGAATCATCAGAGATTTTGTGTTTCTCTTAATTATAAATTTGACATTATTCCATCATTGAGGACTAATGGTGGTGTTGTCTTTGTTTTGAGGATTGTACTACCACCATGCGTTATGGGTTAATAGGATAGAGAAGACATGCACGAATTCCCACTAGGAAATGATAATACTCTGTTGCTTAAATTCAAATTCAACAAATTGAATTTGAATAATGAGATTGGGATATTTGTTTGGCCAATCGAATGTCCATATTCAGTTCGACTACCATTTGCTTTTAAACTGAGAGAATTCATACAAAATATACTAATGAAAGTTCTATGTTTGGTCCTTGCGAAGAATATGCCCATGAATATTGGTATGGTTAAGGATTTGTCCAACTGGAATGGTAATTTTCATAAAACCATACATAGATGAGATGTGCAAGTTGCTTTATTTTTGAAACCAGCAAATAAATATACCCTAGAATGTCATCCATGAGACTTGAACCGTAACCTATAGGTTGATGAGAATGAAAATAATTTTTGGATACCAATAAAGCTAGACCATGATGGTAAGGTACCAAACTATAATAGGGAAAATATATATGATATACTGTTTTGAAGCACTTATGGTTGAATTTGTAAATAACACCAGATGGAGTTCCATTTTCTATTCAACTTGCAGGTGTCCGTGTCATTGTGTGCGAGACTGAACAAGTCTCATTTAAGCAGGATAAGTTTAAGTACCTTAGAATCTATTACAGATTAGAGATTACTTATAACTAAATACAGTGCATTGAGTGTGCTTAGGTGGTCTAAGTAGAGATTTCAACAGTGATATATCTGTTGCATATGGGAGGTTATAACTGATTGTTTTGTCTTTCACGATATAAACACAGTGCCTGACCTTAGTCAAACAAGGGAGATTGAAATTCTGGGTAGAGATTTCAACTGTGGTATATCTGTTGCATATGGAAGCTTAGAACTGATTGTTTTGTCTTTTACGATGTAAACACAGTGCCTGACTTAGTCTAACTAGGGAGATTGAAATTCTGGGTAGATATTTCAACTGTGGTATATCTGTTGCGTATGGGAGCTTATAACTGATTGTTTTGTCTTTCACGAATCACGATATAAACACAGTGCCTCACCTTGGTCTAACTAGGGAGATTGAAATTCTAGCATCTGAGGCTCAGAGGTGAAATATGTGTATCTTAGTAAGTCTATGGTGAGCATGATTATATAAATACTGTATGTTCACAATTTACATTATATGGGGAGTTTACGGAGCAAGGAGCACTTTCCTCCATATCTAATGTTTACAACTTTTTCCTCAAGTTACTTAAACATCGTTGAGATCGAGTTTTGGTCTATCAATTAGGTTTCCTATGGCTAGGAGTAGTAACTTGTACCAACAGAGGAGAAATAGAACAGGTAGATTATGGTCGAAATTAAACAGGGTAGATGTAGTAAAAATATATAATTTTGTTTCAGAGTGATTACCGTTTTATATTGGCGTTTGGCGGTTCAGCCCTGATAGACTAGTAATGATGCCTGAGGTTTCTTCAGTGGTAACTTGTTGATGAGGACTGAAGAACCGTCTTGGTTGAACTACTCTTGCTGAAACATAGGTGTTGCTTGTTCTGAAAAGGTATGTGAGGGGGATTTTCCCATCATGAAGGATCTTGAAAGTAATTCGGAATTTTGTGCTCATGTCATATTAATGGGAAATTGTGTTTTTGCTGCAAAAAATGCATATCTATCTTTAATGATGCATAAATGCATCCCTTAAGTTTTCCCTTTAAACTGTAATTGGTATTGGCAAAACAACTTCTGGAATGGGTAACAATTATTATTTATTCATATTATCTGGCCAAAATTGGTAATATGTAGAAGCTTGTGTCTTGCACATTTCTCTGCTGTGGTTGTGAGTTCAGAAAATAGGGAAGTTAATAACTTTCCTTCACAACCAAGTATTGCATTCCTACCTTATGTTTCGATTAAAGCAAAGTATTGGTATTTCAAGTTGACAAATCAACTATTTCATTACTGTTTATCATATATGTACGTGAAGGATTTCAGTTTATCCCCTAAATATTGTTCCTTTGCTTTGTTTTGTTAACTTCCCAGCATTACCATATGATCTATTGTGTGTAGCTGTGCTTCATTGCTTTTGGTACCTTCTCTAAGTTCTCAAAGAATAGTTTTTAGTGGAAAATGGAAATATTGTAAACAGAAATCTTCTACCACTTTTATCTTGTTTTGTTTTGTTCTATTTAGGTAAAATCACCTGTTTAAAAAGGATCGACATAAAACCACATAATTGATTGACTTTGAGTAATTCATTGCATCTGTAAAAGTGTTCCAATTTAAGAAGAATTATTGTTTTACTTAAACCCCATTTATGGTTGCGGGCTGTAGGTTTTATGTGGTTGATACATGCAATTGATTAACTTTACAGTTCAACTAAGAACAGTTTGTCATACTCTTACTTCGTTGGGGTTTGTTCAAACTCCTAGTCTGTTATACTCTGTATCTGCCAATTATAAAGTTATTACATCGTCTTGCACTTTTGACATGATAGGATTCTTACGGTGGGTACATGGTGGCATTTGCTGGCAGAAAATATGCTGCAAGGTCGATCCCTGCTTTTGTTGCAAACAGTACTTATATAGTGACCAGCTTTACACTGGTAAGTTAGTAATCATTTTAAAGTGCACCATTTTCGTTATTGACAAAGTACCAATCTAAAATTACCACCTTGTCCCTTAGTCACTACAAATATATTCGTGAACTGAACAGTGTGCCAAATCGAACATAGCATTTATTTTGGAACATACGGAGTAAAATTTCCCCCTATTATATTACATTCGCTAAGGTGCATTTGGTACGTGGATAGGACGAAACAAAACAGACCAAAAACCTGTTATCTCATGTTTAGTGCGAGACAGGAACTAAGTGGGACAAGACTGCATTTTTTTCTTTGAAAATCAGAGAAATTGGTAAATGACTAAACTACCCATGTCTAGGGACAGACCCAAAAAATTTTTCAAGCGGCGACACCATTTGACTATAAAAAACAAATATAAGGATATTTTTCACAACATCATCATTGGTCTGTTAGTTCATTGCTTTTCATGTGTCTTGTCATCTTGTGTTCAAGTCTATAACTGCAAATTTTTTCAGAAACATAATAAATCTTAAAAGCTAAAAACTAAGAAAATGACACTAATATGATTCAAACTCGTTCATCACTGTAGTTTCAAAAGATATATGGTGGCACACAACAAATTGATACGATGACACTTTTCACAACCATATAATTTTTTACACTACGACGGAGGAAAGAGAACATCCTAGGTTCGTCCCTGCCCATGTCAAACTAAACCCCAAAACCTTTGCACCTGCCTATCTTACTCTCACATGTCTAGTCTCATCTACTTACCAAATGCACCCTAACACATAATCTTCAACTTTTGGCAAGCACTTTTAATCAACAAGGCAGTTGCCATTTTTGGTGATAGGTCCTAGAATTCCAGAAGGGTAGGCTTCAAAACTTATACTGGAAGAGAGATGGGTGTTCTTCGTGTTCAGGCAAAAGCAACTTTGTGTGCCTCAACAATCAGGACTGTGCAATCAGAACTAGTTCCTGTAAGAACCGAGGAGGAAACGTTGATTGCAGCCTCGGAATACAACTTGCGTTTTCTGGAACAGATAAGCATGAGTCGGTTTTCAACTCGTGGTATGAAGTCAAAAACCTTCGGCAATACTCACTGTTCGGCTTGTACAAAAATCTCAAGGATTCTCTCACTAGCCAATACAACAGCTTCTTTTAACTTCCATGCTTCTTTTAACTTCCATGCTTCTTTTATGTATGTATGTCTCCGGAAAAAATTTGTTGATTTGTGGACATCAAGAGGTAATCTTATTGTTGTGTATGATATGAACATTTGACTTGCTTTTTAAGCTCGTTTGGTCTATACTCGACTCACCAAAAAAAAGATATTTGTATTGATTATACAAATATAAAGGGTTACATAATAACTCACCTATATATATATATATATATATATATATATATATTATATATATGTCCGTTCATCATAAATGAAATTAAACACAAATTAGTGATATAGTATTGAAAATAGCAAGCATAACGATCAAAAGATACCTTTATTGATTAAGCAATCTTAAATACAATTGTTGTCGAGACAATTTGAGCATACATCAGGAGCAATGGTAAGATTAAAATCTAAAGATTTGGAACATTGAGAAGTTGAGAATTTGAGAGAGGGTTTTTTTGACATAACATACTAAAAWTTCTAACACTARGATTTTATGAGARGAAAMGAGTATTTTCTGAGAAAGGAATCGATGATYTTGTTGTAGAGYTTTGATCGTCTTTTATAGTTGAAGTTTGGAATTGAATGACTGGCACCTTCCAGTTATCTTCCAAAATTTTGAGCTTGAAACCGGCACCTTGCCTTGATGTTGAATAATTGGAATTTGTCTGACAAATTGAATCAATCGTCCTATTTTRTCGTTGTCTTAATGRATCCAACATATCGAATCTGCTTTTGACCATAATGTCTTGACCAKAACGTCTATTCTTCATACTTTGCATAAAGCATGACCATAACGTCTATTCTTCATAAAGCAACAGCATCTTTTATAATGACAAAGAGCATTATTATCACCTTGAGCATTATTATCGCCTTGAAATTCAGCTGACCGTATTATAAATCTGCATATTTTTGATAAGATAAAAGATTTGAACAAGATGTTATCGGAAATACCAAAGGGCGTATTTCACGTGTTTTGATAAGATATATTTTGAATAGATACAAAGAATTGCTTGCAAAAGCAATACCCAAACACACTCAACACCTTAAAGATTAAAAATAATCCTCATAAGGGTCTTGACAATCTTGAAATAAATTTTGAGAAGCTGGGACTTGAGACGTAGAACTAGCGGGAGAGCTGCTTGATGGAGAGCTCCGACGTCTAAGTTCTTGAAGAAGTCGCTTGAGTTCTTCTTTTGATTCAGTGGCTAAAATTTGATCAATTTCTTCGTCTTCTTTCTTCTGATTTGAAGTAGATGAGATTGAGGCTGG